TCCATTGTAACAAAAAGGTACAGTTAAGCAAAACAAATCAGCACACTGGCCAGGTCACAAGCACTTCTGGAAGGCTGTATCATTAGCGCACCAGGTCATCATAACCTGGATTCTCTCTATCTTCATCTCTCTGTCCCTTCTCCTGTTTAAAAAGAATTTTCTTTAAAAAAAAAAAACAACATGCAAACAAAATCTCTAGTTTTTCAGTTGAGCTCTCCTGACATCATCAGAGCACTTGAGCTTAGTTCAATTTATTTCCTTGGCAATATCCTCCACTCAGGGAGTCATAGTACACATTTGGATAGTTAGTCGCAATTGACTCATTTAACAAACATAGATTAAGCTCCTGTTGTGGGTAGTAAGGCAGATTAGGGATGTCAGTGTCATTCATCCAAGTGGAAAACCGGTCTCTTTACTAGCTATGTGAAAAGGAGTGAGAAAAGTCTTTGGTTTTGGCAATTGAGCAGTGATTCAGTCTTCTCCTCCCCTATAAAGATGGCAGCCTTCTGACGAGGGTCTTCCTCAGTTCTTGTGTTTTCATAACTTCTCAGTATCACCATCCATTCTCTGCCTTCTATTGGTTGAAGAAGAATTTTGTATACTCCTCACACTTGATCCCATTTCCTCCTGCCTCCTCTAGGACTTTCTTTCAGTTGTCATCTACTTCCTTTTATGCATCTTCAGTCTCTCTCTTTCCACTGTGTCCTTCCCACTTGACTACAAAAATGAATAACAAGCCTTCCCTTGACCCTTCTGCCATATCCAGCTACTGTTCCATTTCTCTCCCTACTTCTTGAAAAAATTTCTATACCTGCTACCTCTTCTTCCTTAGTACTTATTCTTCTACTCCTTGTAATCCGACTTTTGCCCCAAACATGCTACTGAAATTACTCTCTCAAATGTTACCAATAACTTCCTCAACCCAAATCCTTTAGGGGTTTTTTTTCAACCTTCATCCTCCTTTTGATAATTTTTGACACTGCTGAAAATGAGACTTTGGGCAAGTTACTTAATTTATTTGGGCCTCAGTTTCTTCATATGTAAAAATGAAAGGAATGAATAAGATGATCCCTAATGTGCCTTGCAGCTATAATCTATGATCCTATGATCACATTTCCTTTGAATATTCTTTTCCCTGCGTTTCAGAGACACAAAACTGTCCTGTTTCCCTTCCCCTATGTTCTTTGCTGTATCCATATCATTCCTGATCTCCTATGTGAGTGGTCCTTCCAAGTCTCTGTTGGTCTTTTACTGTTTCCTTGGAAATCTCATTAATTTCCACAGATTCAGCTCTTTGTAGATGACTTCCAAATCTCCATCTCCAACCAGAACTAATGAGTTCTAGACTTTCATCTTCAACCGCCTGAAGGATGTCTTTATTTGGATGTTCCATGGACCCATGAACTTCAAGTGCCTCAAATTCAGCTCATTCATTTTTTCCCCATAAGCATGTTCTACCTTTTGACTTCATTATTTTTATCTGTGGAACCACCATTCATCCAGTTTTTCATGTTATTAACCTTGAGGCTAACTTTGACTCCTCCATCTATCTTCAGTTCAGTCATTTCAGACATGTCCAACTTTTAGTGGCCCCCTTTGGGGTTTTCTTGGTCTGTCAAGATCCTGGAGTGGTTTACCATTTGCTTCTCCAGCTCATTTTCCACATGAGGAAACTGAGGCAAACAAGATGAAGTGATTTGACCAAGGGTCTGAGGCTTGCTTGGAACTCAGGAAGATCAACCTTCCTGTCTCCAGGCCCAGCATTCTAACCACTGAGCCTCCTAGCTCCCCTCTTTCTACCTTACTTCTTATTTGATAAATTGTCTTGATTTCACCTTCATAGCATTTCTTACATCTATTCTCTATTCCAGTTGCCAACACTCTCATACATTTCTCATTACCACCCACCAGGACTATCACAAGAGCCTCCTTAAAGGTTTTCTTGCCTCGCTTCTTTCCTCCTCTAATTCTTCTAGCAGATCATCTTTCTACCACAAAAATCTGGAAATGGTCTCTCCTCTATTCAAATATCTTCAGTGTGGCTACCTAGCATCTATCAAGTAAAATTCAAACTTCTCTGCCTGGCATTCAAAGCCATCCACAGCCTGGCACCTTTCTACCTTTTCAGCTTTATCCCATATTTCTTCCCCTGTTACTTTGTGCTCTTAGCTGAATTGAATAAATCTTTATCCACCTTATCTCCTACCTCCACCCTCCCAAACAGATGCACACACACACACACACACACACACACACACACACACACACACACAGAGTGTTACAATACTTCCATGTTTTTGTTTACATTTTTTCTTGGAATATTCTCCTTTCCCCTTTTCACCTATTGAATTTCTCTTCATCTTTTAAAGCCCAACCAGAAGACTACCTTCTCCACTTTTAGGGGAGAGGAACCTTTTGTCACAGGTAGACATTCTAGACATTACTTCCATAGCTTTGGTTCATACATCTTGAGTCCCATTTGCATTTAACCGGGCCACCGCAAAAGATTGATTCAAATCAATTGATTCAATTGATTTATCTGATGTCGTCCTTAATTCTGGCAACCAGAGTAAGCATAATACTACATTTTCCAATTTCAGGTCCACAGCAATTAAAATGTGAATAAATCTCTGTATACTACTCCTATAATATGCCCAAAACAATTCAAATGCCTTTAAACTGTAGCCTCCTATGATGACTCGGAGATACATTTCTGAGGGGTCTTCCCATTGTCCAGTAGCCTGGCAGAACCTTGTTAAGTTAGTACTAGAGGCCTTATGTCACAATCTAGGGATCCTTTCTTAGTGATATTTATAGACAGATTTTTCAGTGTCAGGATGTTGGTATTCCCCAAATCAAAGGGACTATGGTGTTTGTCCAGTTTTGATTAACTCAGGCCAAGTTTCCAGGTGGGAACTCATTATGTAAAAAGACATTAATCTCTCAGTTGAACATAATTTATAGGTGTTCCAGAAGAAAACAAAGGCATCCCAGTTCACTTAATTGTCTTAGGAATAGTCCCTCTCACTAACATATATGTGTGTGTGTATGTGTGTGTGTATACACATATAAAATTCTGCCTCAGGGATCATATTAGGGTCATAGGGTCAAAGATCTAGAGCTAAATGGAATCTTAAAAGTCATCGAGTCCAACCCCCTCATTTTAGAGAAGAGAAAACTGAGACCCATGTAGGATAAGTGACTTACCTAAGGTCAAATGGGTAGTAAATGACAGAGTATCAAGAGCACTGGCTTCAAAACATACCTGTGATACTACCTGTGTGACCTTAGCAAATCACTTAATTTCCCTATGATAAAGTTTCCTCATTTGAACAATAAAGCTGATAAACCAGATGGCCTCTTGGGTCCCTTCCAATTCTAGACCTATGATTTTATGATACTAAGTTGGCATTTGAACCTAAGTGCTCTGACTCCAAATCAAGGCTCTTTCCAATATACTATGCCATCTCAATACTAGGTGCCAAATAAAATGATGCTCAAAAAGATGTATCTGCCAAAATATTCTCAGGATCTTCATTAAAATTGAAAAAGTTTATCTAAATATGTTAACATAAAATGATTTTAATTGGGAAGGAGAAATGACAAGCTCTACCTGGAAGGTCTAAATTCACTTAGTCTCATTATCTGCACTATGATCCCTTAAAACAGACATTTAATGAAAGAAAAATTTCACTAACCTGAATGGCAAAGGTCTCATTCTATAACTAGATATTTTGCATTTCTATGCTGGGTCCTAATCATTCATTTAAACTAAAGCTCCCAAACTTTATTACCAGTTTGAGTGCTAGCAAATGACAATCAGTGTGTGAATTTCATTTCACAATAGAGACCAAGCCTTTGTCAATATTTTTCCATATTGACACAATTCTAATTCCAAATGTGAAATTATTATTCTTCACAGAACTACAAACAGTTGCTCTACTCTATTAAAAGTATTCTTCCCTCTTCCTGACTTTAGTCCTGATATTACACACAGATTCCCCCAAAGTAATCAAACTTGTTGGGCTCCTACTGTGTGCAATGCACCCAAAACTCCTAATGGCTACTGTGTCATGATTGAGTCCCCTGTATCAACCCCCATCAAAAGTAAATCTTGAGACTCAATGTTTTTATTCTCTATGAATGAGATAGCAAATTACATAGTATCTCAATTCAGTTTACCCATCAATTTCTACTTTATGTCTCTGGAACATACCCTGTTTTCCTCCCTCCAAGCCTTTGTTCAGCCTTCCTCTATGTCTGATCAGTCCCCCCTCCTCATTTTTGTCTATTGAATGCCTACCTACCCTTTACAGCCCAATTCAAATGCCACTACCTCCTCCTTAAAGCCTTTCCTGATCCCCACCATCCCCCTCCATAATAAGCTTCCCCTTCAGACTTTTTCTTTGGACTTCTCCAATACATTCATGTATTATAGTGTTATAGCTATTGTGTGTAAGTACTGGTTCAGCTCCCACTGTGTGGAAGATTCTGTGCTGGGTGTTGAGAATACAAAGCCAAAAATGAAACAGTTCCCATCATCCAAGAGCTTTTATTCCTATAGCTATGTGCACTTACTAGACTGTTAATTCTCTGAGGGCAAGAACTATGACTATATTTCTCGGCTTTGTGCCTCCCCATGTGCTAGCAACGGAAATGTTCTCTAAGCAGGAAGCATTGAACAGTTTTGTTGAATTACTGCATAACAGAGAGGCTCAGGAAGGGAGTGTGAGGCCTGGAGAGTCAATGTTTATAGCCCCATTTGGTTGTGTTGGACATGAAGTTACAGGCTAGTATTCGTCTGCAATTCTGTCTCCATTTATGCTAAGTAAAGGGGCCTTTTAAAAATCCTAGAGAACCAATGTATCTTCCCTCCTGCATTAATCAGACAATAAGTAAAAAGTGTCTTAAGATTAAAAGTGTCTAATATCTAAGTTTTATTATCTTCTCCCCTCTTTTTTTTCTTTTTTCTTTTTTTGTTTTTCTCTTGGGGCATCAAGGACAAAAAGGAACAAAAGGAGAAGCGGGAGTTTCAGGTACAGTACTTGCTTGATTTTAATTTCTCAAAGAGATGACTAGAGTCTGTGCATTCAAATGGCAGGTCTCTGTGACTTTGAAATGTGCACCAGCAATTTCCTTCTCTCCTCCCCTCCCCCACCAGTCCCCAAGTTGTAATGGACTTAAAGGGACTATAAGGAAATATAAAACCAGGGCTTCTGGTTCTTATACCAGCCTGGGTGTGGTGTGACTGAGAGAAGTCAACAGGTCTCTTGGGGTCCCAGTTTCCTCTTGTAAAAAACAAAAGAGAAATAATTTAAACACACATCCTAAATTAGGGTGAGAGTAGGGATGGAGGGTGCTGTAGGGAACAGTCAGAATGTTTAGCATATGTACAAATACATTACATCTGGATAAAATAAGGTAACTATGTTCGCCAATTATGCAAGAGATTTTGTAAAATCACATATCTGAAAGGTTTGGTTCAAATCACACAATCACACACACTGTTGATGCCCATATACCTCTTTACTCTCCAAACAATTTGCACCACCTTATCTGGATCTCATCAGGCCAGGATCATAGAATCATACATTTAGAGCCCAAAGGGTCCTCCGGTCTAACTGCCTCATTTTATAGATGAGGAAACTGAGGTCCAGAGAGGATTTTGTCAGCGGCACACAGGTCAGGTCTAAAACAAAATTTGAACCCAAGTCTTCTTGATTTCAGGTCCAGAACTCTGTCCCCCATCTGCCCCAAGTCAACATATTCAGACTAAGGCTTTTACCCAAAGCCAAATATCTGGGATGCCAAAACAGCTGTATATAGACAAGGAGCCAGAGCATCCAGATGATTTCCAGAATTTGTCCTGGTGTTTGGGCTTGTACAGCCTCACCAATTGGAAAATAAACAACTGGATGATGGGGTACTTCAATCAGCTGACCACCAGTCGAGCAGACCAGCTTGAGCTACATCCAGTCAAATAACCAGTTTAACTGACACTTTTCAGCTAAACTAATTTAATTGAAAGATTGTTATAGCCTTCAGGGTTCCGTGAATATTGAACTAAAAAGATTATGAAAGGAAGGAGAAGAGAGTATATCATTTCTTTTGGACTGCCTGTCTGATTTTTCATAGGTCTGCTTCCTGATTTCTGTTAATCACAGATTTGGGCAGGGAGGCAGTACCAATTTTAGTGGCTGAATTATACATAAATTACTAAGTGGGGACAACCTCTGACAAATATCCTCTAGTTTAACCTCCTCATTTTGCATATGAGGAAATTAAGGCCAGAGGAATTAAATAACTTGTCCATGGTCATATAATTAGTAAGTGGCATAGCTGAGATTCAAACTAGACCTTCTGATTCCAAATCTGTATTTTTCCTATCATCTTTTGACCTCAATGGAGTCTGAGGACAGCTAACATCATCACAGAAAGAGCTGAAAATCTCTTGCAATTGAACGTTCAGTCCCTGCTAGTTCTCACTCCTTCCTGCTCCTCCTTGCCCCTCTCAATATCCTCCTCCATTAGGTTCCTCTTATAAAAAGACTGGGATAGGAACCACATACTACCTCTTTTCTCTGCTATAGGTCCTCCAGGTCAGAAAGGAGCCCAAGGAAATGTGGGGAATAAAGGTGAACCTGGTGCCAAAGGAGAAAAAGGAAACCACAGTAAGGCTGGGTTTGGTTTGGTTTGGTTTTGTGGAATCTGATTTTAAGTTTTCAGGGTCATTGCATCCCTCCCCCTCCCTCTAGGAAGGATGTCAGTAAATCTATTTTTAACAGATGGATCGCATCTTAATATCAATCAATGCCCTCTAGTGAAGCCCCTTCCTATAACCCCCCCACTACCTGAAAATAGTTCTTTCTTAGATCTAACTTAAACCCTTTTGCCTGCAGATTAAGCCCATGTATTTTTGCTCCTGAATAGAAGTGGACAATAGGAGAAGCTGGAAAGCCTCTCCAAAGCAAATTGAATACATTCCTGTGACTAGTTTTAATTTAATTCAATTCTATTGACAGGACTGGACAAGGGAGAACTTGCTCTCTTCTCCCTCCCTCAGGTTCCCCTCAGGTGGGGTTAATTCCCCAAAAAGGAAAGAAAGGAAATTCAGACTGGTCTGCCTTCATAATGATTCATTTTCTTTCATTACATTGAAAGACAACCAGATATTGCCCACTTTTATCTTAATTTATCCTTTAGGGGAGGAGAACACTAAAATCTTCTTATGTTTTAACATGGCCTGGAGATGACCCAGGGGTCCCAAAAGCCATGTCAAATGGTAGACCCAGCCATGAACCATCATCTGATTCTATCTCATTGTGCCTCAGAGGTTCACCTGAAGAAGCTTGGTCACCATCTCATGGGTTGGATTAAAGAAACAATTATGGCACAGAGGCCTTGAGATTTGTGTTGGTGGAGGAAGTCTCATACTGATAAAACCACAGACTCTTTGAAATATTGAAACATTGCATCTTTCAGTGTCAACACTACACCAGAAAAGGCATGGGTGACAGGCAACTAGTTACCAAAAGATGATTCTGATTTTTCCCCCTTACTAGACAGTATTATTCTTTGCTTTGAAGAATCAAGTGCATACCAGGCAAAAACTCTGGGCATACTGGAGAACTGGTCTATGGTCTCTAGCTCCAATTCTCAAATTTCTTTTTCTTTTCATTTCTTTTTCTTCTATGACATTTGTCAAAACTAATCAGACTGGATTTGCAAGACCAACAAATATTCAGTCTGGGTAGCTGCCTTTTGGAATGCTCACTCCCTGATATTCTAAGAAGTTTCATCTAGTGAATGGTAGTACTTCAGGTGTATTTGCAAAGGGAGTGCCAGGTAGTGGAAAGAGAGCTAACTTCAGGGTCAGGAAGACTGAGGCTTAAGTCCTACCTCTGAAACATACTAGCTAAGTGGCCCTGGGCAAGTCAATTAACCTCTTGGTTCCCCAGTCGACCAAATCTATAAGTTACAGGGCAGTTTTCTGATCTGCACTCACAAAGGAAGCTTCCTCAGGAGGAGTTGTTTCTCTAAACCAATGAAATCACAGATTTGGACAGATAAATAAACAAATGAGGAAGAGAGGAAGGAAGGAAGGGAGGGAGGAAGGGAGGAGAAAGGAAGGGAAAAAGAGAAGGAGGGAAGGAGGAAGGCTAACTGATTCCAGGCATGAGAGAAGCATGAAGAACATATGATCCAGCTAATTTCTATTAAAATAGTTATTTACTTAAAAAAACCCTTTATTTTAAGGTAGTACTATAATTTAGCAGGTTATATAATGTGGTTGTTGAATTCAAGTGGATAGAGCAAAAATATGTGGGTAATTAAGAGCAATGGATAGAGCCAGAGGGTGAGGACTCTTCAAGGGAAAGAGGTCTATGGTCCTAGTCATGATCAGACAAAGTAAAGCAGAAGACACTCTGGGTCAAGCCAGAAGTCACAGGGACACTAAATCCAAAAGGCTAGGAAAGTGGTCAAGAGAATTTTACTAGTAAGAGTTGCAAATCTGAGGAATCAATATGCAATATCTCAGAACCAATGTGTAAGGAACAATGGGTGTCAGCGAAATTGTAGTGATATCATGGTACAAATCAGCTGGATTTCTGTCCCTGGGCCCCATTGGTGATGCTGTGAGACAGAACAGTGGTTTCCTCACATCTTCCTTGCAAATCTTTTCTACCTTCCCCCACAGGCCAAAGACACTTGGTTAGAATTGCTGGTGGAAGGTCCAAAGGCCGTGCTGAAATTTTCTACGATGGTGCTTGGGGCACTATATGTGATGACTCCTGGGATAATCAGGATGCCACTGTCTTCTGTCGCATGATGGGGTACAGTTCAGGGACTGCAGTCTCCAATGAAGGAGGAGGTAAGTCACAAACTGGAGCAAACAAATAATCCAGTATTCCTCAGATACCTATTTGAGGGATTCATTTCCAATTCCAATAAAATTTTCATAAATTAGATGCTAAAGACTTAGAAATTTTTGACTCAAAAGGATCTCCCCCAATATCTTATTACTTAAAATTTTCATTTGGGTTATAAGCTCTTCTCAAACCCAATACCCCCAGACATAAGTCCAACAGCTATTCACACCCTAGTTCGGATTATTTTAATCAACTAGTCAGATGACTTTCTTCTGAATCCCTAGCCATCCATGGTGAACTGGAATTGTAATAGTTGTGTGTGGTGGGAGTCTTGAAAGGAGAGTAGAGTTGGATGAGCTGATGTAGGAGGTATCTTTGGACAGCCAGAATATAGCATGAGGGTTCTGGACACCTGGAGAACAGCAAGGAAGGGTTCCTGAAAGGAGAGATCACTGTGGCCTAGGGTGCTCTGGGAAGATTTTATGGAGGAGGTAGAACTTCAATAGTACCTAGTTTGTGCTAGAGTGCTGGGACTGGAATCAGGAAGACTCATCTTCCTGAGTTCAAACCTAACTTCAGACACTAGCTGTGTGATCCTAGGCAAGTCACTTAATCCTAATTGCCTCAGTTTCCCCACTTGCAAAATAAACTGGAGAAGGAAATGGCAAACCATACTAATATCTTTGCCAAAAAAGCCCTAAATGGGGTCACAAAGAGTCAGTCACAACTGAAAAATGAACAACAAAGAACCTAAGCTGAGCCTCAAAGTACAAGTGCCATTTCCATAAGTGGCAAGGAGGTATTGGGGAGGAAGGAGGGAGCAGAGTATAGCAACATGGCCCCAGCAAAGGGTATGAAATTTAAGGGGATCTGGAATAGACCAGAGGTGATAGCAATGGAAAAAACTAGAGGCAAGAAGACCAGATGAAAGACTACTATAGTAGTCAATGTGTAATATCAAGGCCCTGGGCAAATGCTGTGGCAATGGCAAGGGAGAGAAAGGGAAATGGGAGACAATCTGAAATTAAAGACCATAAGACTTAGCAGTTGAATGAATATGATGCAAACTCCAAGACCACCAAACCTTTTAAGAGAACCCCAAATTTTAGCTTCTTGGATAGTCCCACCATTGTGGATAGGGCTGTTATAGGTTGTTTTGTCCTGAGTTGGAAGTCTTTGATTTAGTGATCCTTTTCATTGTTGTCATTTGAAAGGTTCTGGACCAATTTGGTTGGATGATGTTAAATGCAGTGGGCATGAAATTAACCTCTGGGATTGCCAGAAAAGTCCCTGGGGCTCTCATAACTGTCAACACAGCGAAGATGCTGGAGTAATATGCATCTGATTCCTACAGAGAACATCCCATATTGTTCCCAAAATCCTTGAAGCCCAACCTGTAACCTGATGCCAATCCTTAGGCAGCTAGCTTCACTCTCAAGGTGTCCTATGTTAAATATACATGCTTGTCTATGTGTAGATGACTTCACTCTGTATCATTCTCATGCTGCTTAAGGAAAGATCCTTAAGGAAAGAAATAAAAAAAAGCTCTGCTTGACACACTCACTGGTTGTGTTTTCTTTGACTGGAGTCAACAATGAAAAATTAAGCTAATTCTCCACTTCTGGACCAGAGGTGGATCCCAGAAAATGAACTGATGCAAGCCCCTTGAACTGTCACAACTGCCAGTTGCTTCCTTTCCTTTTTCATGGTTATATGCAAAGCAGGTCAAAGTCCATGCATAGGCAGATTAGATGGCAGACTGTGTGTCATGATATGGAGGGTACTATAAAAAGCTTTCTATCTCAAAATCATCTCACCAACTTTCTGTATGTCCAGAAACTCCACCATCAAAGTGGTCTGGTAGTCAGTGTGAAATTGATGGGAATGTTTGAAGTAAAGCAGAGATGGATATGGGCAAAATCTGAAAGGTCTATCTGTGCTTTCTTAAAGAAACAGGAGACTTGGACATCAGCCTTGAGACCTTACTTTCCTTTAGGACAGGGATTCTTTACCATATTTGTGTCATAGAGCCAATGGACTTCCAGTTAGAATAATATTTTCAAATGAAATCAAAAGTTAGTGAAAACGAAGATGTAATTTTTTTTTCCCATGCAAGTTCTTGGACTCCCTGAAATTTATCCACATGGGTCTGTGAACACCAGGTTAGGAACTTTTGCTTTAGAGGATAACTAGGCAGGAAAAAAAAAGTAATAAAACATGTCAGGATTTTTCCTCCCCACCCCCAAAAAGAAATAGGAACAAATCCATTCCCTAGAGTTGCTCCATCCTTAGAGTGCTTGCCTAGTCAGGGGATTGACATTCTCAGAGTGCTGCTGCACTGCCCCTCAGGAAAGATTCCAAGGGCTATTTCAAGAAGGAAGATTATAATGGATTCCTGGAATGACCATAATCTTGTAAATAGGGTCCAAGACAAAAAAATCTTTAGCAAAGGAGAAAACAGAAGGAGCTTTGGGTCATCCCAAAGAGTTTGAACACCTCGCTTAGGTAATTTAATTATAGTCCAGTCAATTCAACAAGCATTTATGTAGTGCCTAGTATTAAGTGCCAGCTACAAGATACTGTGCCAGCCCACAAAGATTTAAGGAGGAAACAATAGAGTCCCTGCCTTTAAGGAGCTCACATTTTATTGAAAAAATAAACTTTGTTTACTGAGGGCAAGAACTGTGCCAAAGTAACATTAAGTACAGTAAATACTCACTGGATTGAATATAATTAATAATCATAATTTGTATTTACATAGAACTTCAAAATTCTACAGAAAGTTTCATGTATTATCCCATCTGAGCCACAAAACCAGGTAAATGCTATTTTTATCCTCATTTTACAGATAAGGAAACTGGGGCTCAGAAAGGTTAAGTGATTTTTCCAGAGTCTCACAGTTACTTCATATTGAAAGTAGGATTTGAACCCAGACCTTCATGACTCCAAATCTAGCACTCCATCTACTCCAGCTGGAATCAAAGAAGGGGACATAATGAAATAATAAATAGGCATTTTAAGTGGAGTGCCCAACCAATAAAGGCTCACTTCCATGCAGTTTCCAATAGAACTTTTGATAATAAAATAAATATTTTATGCAATGATTGTAGGTCTACAGCTAGAATAAACCTCATTTTATAGATGAGGAAACTGAAGCCAAGAGAAGTCACAGGATTATAGGATTTATAGATGGCAACTGTTCCAGCTTTTGTTCATCTTCTTTATCAGCTGGCAACTGAGCAAGAAGAAATGGGTTTGATCTATAGTAAAGCTGGCTATAATCATCACTTTGCTTCAGTGTTTCCTCTCTGTACTGGTTTCCTCATCTACAAAGTTTAGGGGTTTAACTAGTTCTCCAAAGTTCCTTTAAACTCTACAATAAATACATGATCTAGAATTATCTGGTAAAAATAGGACACAGGATAGATAGAACGGAGAAAGATAGTTTCTAAAATGGGCAGTTGGAAGACTACATAACCTTGCTAAAAGTAGGTATAGGACTTGTCCTGAGAGCTAGCCTGGTCTAAGATAGAGGTCGTGACTCCCTTTTTTTCATAAGACAGGCCAGTTGACTTCTAGTGCCACTATGTCTGAGTGAAACAAAAACTCTCTGGAGCCTATCCAAATTCCCCTCTAAACAACCATGAAAACCACCTCAGAACCAATTTAGCAGTGGGGAAGCAAATTACCAACTCAGCAGAAAACATCTGTCTCACTGGTGTGGGAGATAAGCCTGATAAACAAGCAGCAGCAGCAGGCCACACTGCAGTGAGGCTCTAAGGCTTGGGCCAATCCACCAGTGGAGGGGGGAGGGGCACCCCCATGTAAGCCAGCAGCCCCAGAGGCAACCCATCAGTCCCAGACTAGCAGCACAGTGGGACCCTACTCCCAGTGCAGGCCACCAATTAGTTCCTGCCTCCATAGCAAGCCAGCAGGGAGGTTCCACCCCTGGGGCAGGCCACCAGGGAGGTCCTGCCCCCAATACAAGCCAGCAGGGAGCACCCCATCTCTAGTGCAAGCCAACAGCTGAGCCCCAAAACCCAATGAAAGCAAATGACAAGGTTCTGAATCCTGAAATAAGAAGCTTGGGACAGTGAAGGAGGAGAGCACAACTGTCACATAAAAGTACAAAGTCACAAAATATGCAGAAAAAAATAAGTAAAAAACAAAGAAAGAACTTGACTACAGAAAGTTATTATGATGACAGGGAGGATCAAGGCACAAACTTAGAAGAGGAAAACAGTGTTAAAACAGCAACATGTGAAGCCCCTCCTCCAAAACATTTTCAAAAACAAACTTATTGAACTAAGGGAAAAAAAAGAACTATTGGACTACCTGAAAACCACACACAAAAAAAGATGCTAGATATCATTTTTGAGAAATTATTGAAGAAAACTGCCCTGATATCCTAGACCAAAGGGTAAAATAGAAATTGAAAGAATCCACTGATCACCACTTGAAAGAGATCCCATAATGAAAACTCCCAGAAATATCATAGCCAAATTTCAGAGCACCCAGATCAAAGAGAAAATAGCCAGAAAGAAGGAATTCAAATATCATGGAGTCACAGTCAGGATTACACAGGATTTAACAGCTTCTACATTAAAGAACCAGAGGACTAGAAATATGATAGTCTGGAAGGCAAAGGAATTAGGATCACAACCAAGAATCATCTACCCAGCAAAATTTAGTATAATCCTTCAGGAGGGAAAATGGATGTTTAATGAAATAGAGGACTTTTAAGCATTCCTAATTAAAAGACCAAAGTATAATTAAAAGCTTGCTCTTCAAAGCAAGACTCAAGAGAAACAGAAAAAGGTAAAAAAGAAACAAGAAAGAGAAAACATAAAAGATTCAATAAAGTCAAACTGTTTATATTCCTACAGGGCAAGATAATATTTGTAACTTAAGAACTTTATCACTATGAGAGCATTTAGAAGGAGTATACACAGACAAAGGGCGTAGACGTGAGATGACTATGATAGGATGATATCCAAAAAAAAAAAAACCAAAAAACAAAATTAAGCAGTGGGAAAGAAGATTGTACTGAAAGAAGAAGGAAGTGAGAGATAGAATGGGGTAAATTATCTCACATAACAGAAGTGTGAAAGAACTGTTACAGTGGAGAGGAAGATGGGAGGTGGTGGGCAAAGTCTGAACCTTATTCTCATCAGAATTAGCTCAAAAAGGGAATAACATGCACACTTAGTTGGATATAGAAATCTATCTTGCCCTATAGGGAAGTAAAAAGGGAGAAGGATGAGATGGGGGTGGGGGGGAGTGACTGACAAAAAAGAGGGTTGGTTGGGGGAGGTAGTGATCAGAAGTAAAACACTTGTGAGAAAGGACAGAGTGAAAGGTAAGAGAGAGATAGAGTTGGATAAACAAGGGAAAATATGATGGAGGGAAATACACAGTCATCATAACCATTAATGTGAATGTGATGAACTCACCCATAAAATGAAAGTGGATGGCAGAATGGATTAAAAAACAGAATCCTACAATATGCTGTTTACAAAAAACACATTTGAAGGAGAGAGACACAAATGAAGTAACGGTAAGGGGCTGGAGCAGAACCTATTTCTGCTGAAGCAAAATAAAAAAAAAAACAGCAATCATTCTCAGACAAAGCAAAAGCAAAAAAAAATGAATCTAATTAAAAGAGACAAGGAAGGAAATTATATCTTGCTAAAAAGGTACCATAGACAATGAAATAATATCAGTATTAAACACATATGCACCAAATGGTATAGCATCTACATTTTTAAAGTAGAAGTTAAATGAGTTACAGGAGGAAATAGACAATAAATACTAATGGGGGATCTCAACTTTCCCCTCTCAGAACTAAATAAATCTAACCACAAAATAGACAAGAAAGAAGTTAAAGAGGCAAATAGAATTCTAGTAAAGTTAGATATGATAGATATGATAGCTCTCTGGAGAAAATTGAATGCGAGTAGAAAGGAAAATACCTTTTTTATTTTATCAATACATGGCACTTACACAAAAACTGACTATGTATTAGGGCATAAAAACTCACAATCAAATGCAGAAAAGCAGAAATATTAAATGCACTCTTTTCAGATCATAATGCAATGAAAATTACATTCAATAAAGGTCAGTACATAGATTAAAAATTAATAGGAAACTAAATAATTCAATCCTAAAAAAATGAGTGGGTCAAAGAATAAATGATAGAAACAATCAATAATTTCATTAAAAAGAATGACAAAAATGAAACAACATAACAAAATTTATGAGATATAACCAAAGCAGTACTTAGGGATATATTTATATCTCTAAACATCTACAACAGTAAAATAGAGAAAAAGCAGATCAATGAATTGGGCATGCAACTAAAAAAAAATTTTTTTAAAGAAGAAATTAAAAATCCCCAATTAAACACTAAATTGGAAATCCTAAAAATCGATGAAGAGATTAATAAAATTAAAAGTAAGAAAATCATTAAACTGATAAATAAAACTAGAAGTCAATTTTATTGGGGTGGGAACAATAATAAAATATATAAACCATTGGTTAATTTGATTTTAAAAAGGAAAGAA